AATAATGTTCTTTTTAGCAACATCATATGACCCCTTTAAACAGGATTTTCTTATTACTGTAAATATGTCCAGGACTTTTAGTGAGGGCTGTTCCTTGACTTGGTGTTTTGTTTTTCTTGCCATGCATGTTTGTACAAACATAAGCCTTAAATTTATGGGCGAAGAAATCAAAGCTGATCCCTAAAGCATGTTTTAACATCTACTGTTACAGTCATTAGTAAAGCAGCTCATGGAACACTACATGAAAGTTGCGCAAGACAACTACAAAAACAAACAATGGACCTTTGGCACAAAGATTATTTAGGTCTCAGACCGGTACAGAGCACATTGCATTTTAATTTCCTTTTTCTCACAATGGCTTGAAAAACAGTAAAATAGGCCGTCAGGGACTGATTGTGTCCACGTTTTGAAATATTTCAGTTGCTTACATTTACTGAACATACCTCATTTTGAACAGGGTGTTATAGTATCCAGAAAACAAAAATTAAATATATATATAATTTTTTTTACTTTAAACTCTAATGCAAAGATTTATTTTTGTGGCAACAATTCAATAGATGCATGTGGAAATCAGTTCCGTTAAAGTACATTTAAGTTAAATTACCATTCTGTAGTTCATTCAAGTGAATTATTCGCTTCGATAAACCCAACAAGCACTTTAATTTCTACTAAACGTTGTTGACTTGCATAACCCATCATCTGGCACATACAGCATTACAACAGGAATCTGTTACTTAACCTTCCAGTAGTTCTCGCTCTGTTCCTGTTTGTGATTTCAATGCATAAAGAAAAATGTTTCACCTCTCAGCTACCTCACTTCCTCCCTCTGCCAGAGCTGGTTTCCTGAAAGGCTCCATGGCGACTCCCAAAAAAAAAAAAAAAACTCCCACTATTTCCTCATTACAATTAACAGTGAAATCACAATATAAAATCACAACAGGTGTTTAATATCACCCTTTATTTCCTTAAATATCATAGAAAAGACATGTAGTATGTGCAGTTTAAAAGCTCAGGTTGTTCAAGTGTGGCCTTGTATAAATATTTGCACACAGGAGTCTATTAAATGAAAGCACATTCAATGGGCCACTTTACAGACAGCAGCAGCAGCTGAATATTAGAGAACATTTCCCAAGAAGAAAACCATGCAGGCACGATTATATATGTAACAAGTACAGTATAAACTGACCAATGCGGCTTCTTAGAGCAATATTACACACACAGATTTGTTTGTAATAGCTCTGATTTGATTGCATTAAAAGTTTGAGCATTTGTGCTAAAAACATTCACACGTGATTAAATGCTCAAGTACAGTGCATTTTACAGAATATATAAAAACAGTCAATACCACTTTACAAGACTTGTTTAAAAAAGCCAGATAGTAGTTTGAAGAGTTTAAACCATATACATATGATAGTTCATACAGGTTTCAGATAACATGCATACGACAAGATTTTGTAACCATGTAGTGCAAATATTAAAACTAATATTTATCCTAATTTGAGTATGTTCACCACAAATACAAAAGGAAATGTTATTGGTATTTCTCGTGCCTTAATAGAATAGGTTCTATGAAGAGTGAAGGGTGTATTGTCATTTTCTACAGTCTGGGAAACATGTTTGTCTGTTTTTGTGTAACAGGCTTTCATGTTGCTCACAGACCTCTCCTGACCCACCTTACAGCATGACACAGCGGCGTCTCTCTGAAGGACAACACTGTCTTTTTGTATTCCATCAAAGATTCGTCTGGTAGGAAGCTGTTTTTCTGTCATTAGGGCATTTGCCCTCAAGCTTGACCTTTAACCTCAGCCTGCCAGCTCCAATTCCCACAAGCATGTCACCCCAGTGTGAAGTCTATACAGTATGTACACCTCTGCTCTCTTCCCATCAGACACCTTCACCTGTTCATCTGCTCGTCATACCTGCAGAGCAAAACAAATCATCTCCATCACTTTCACTGGTAGTGAAAACAATTAAGATAAGATACTTTTTGATATCAATTATTTACAGAAAAAGCTGTTGTAGGAATAACAAGGTAATTATACTAGTTAGATTCAAACATCACTTTCACTGGAATCTATTTTTTCATTTATTTGAAACAATAAAGAATTACATTTATTGATAATATTGATTTATAAAATACACATTTGATGATACATTTGGTGTAAATTATTTTACATTATTATAAAAATAGGGAGAAATGTGGTCAAGAAATTATACACGTCACATTCACTGTTATAATTGTTTGTTAATTTATTTAAAATAATAATAAAATTACATTTATTCAAGAAATCTTTTAATTAAAATGAACACATTTTATGAATAGATTTTAAATGTAATATATTTTTTTAAATGTAACAGATGTATTCATTAAATGTATTTATTGGGATTTGCAGCTGGGCCACAGGAACAAACTCGGCCAGTTCTTGCAAGCTGTGGATGAAGCGCATCTTCCTGCTGAATTTCTCACTTCAAGAGAGAAAGACATGGGTCAGACTGAGGGCTTTAGGTATTAATAATGTTTATGGCCTTTTTTAGCTCTGTTTGCTAAACTAATGATCATCTGTGCTCACCTGATGAAGGGTTTGATGACAGTGATTAACGCTCTCACGTACCAGGCCGGGTGAACCACGAAAAGGCCTTTCAAGTCTTTCTTTAACCTTCAGAAAAGAAAATAGATTTAATACCTCAATCAGAAAAGCAAAGGCAAATGTATTAGAACTTAAAACTATTTTTGGTTCCAATAACTGGTCCAGTAACTCTCCCACTGGAGAAGCACGATGCCAGCAGAACATGACGACACAAGGGAGCAATCGCTGACTGGCACCAGCACCACCCTGACCCGTGTGAAACCATGAGAGGCAGGGCGTTGAATCATGGGACACAGACAGGCAGAAACTTGGAGACGACATTTGTTTACGACATATTTCACTGGTGTCCTAGCCCAAAAATCATCCACAAACTTAACCATTTATATTTAGTTTCTTTTATATATCATTTAAGTGTTAGGGGTTATAAGGCTCAAATACATTACTCTGAATGCTACATAAAGTGCTACTTCTGATCTACAGTGGGGTCCAAAAGTCTGAGACTGTCAGTAAAAACCTTTTTATTTTGCATTTTAAATTAAGTTACATTAAATTCGACAATTTAATTACAAATAAATACATATTCTAACTTGAAAGATTTTTTAAACATTCAAATTTAAGTGAATTATTTGCTTTATCCCCCTTTTTTGCTTTAAATATTTGAAAAAGTTCATCTTTGTATTTCAATGGAAGCAATATGGAAACAAATATTCACTTTTTTGATATTTGATCAATATTGTGTGTTCATATTTATTGGCATTTTTGTTTAAATACAAAATGCTCAATGTTTATTTCAATTCGATTTAGAATAGGATCTCAGTGTTTGCACTGAAACTGGAGAAAGTAGCTAAAATGCCTTCATCACAGGATTTTCCCTTTAGATTCACTGGTATTTCGAATGAATCCTATCAGTTCATTTTCCTCCTCGCAGTTCCTTTTTGATTGTGCGACGTCATGCTTGGTGTTTTTTCTGTTGTTTTCTGTTGCCGTCTGTACAGTCAGCAGCTTATGAGTGATCTCAGAGGAAACTTCATGCAGTGACGCAACGGAGTCAGTAGGAATGACAAATCAGGCTTTCAAGAGCATCCCACACTCCTTAGTTCCTCATTTCCCAAACTGATCTTACATGATAAGATGACCTTCAATTTCCTGAGTATACAAAATCCTCACATAAAACATTTATGAGACTGACCTTCACCTGGAAGATGAGCCGTTAGATAGCTACGCCATAACATAGGGAAATCAAACAAGAATTTACCATTTTAATTCTTTGGTTCGTCGATAACCACAAAACAGACCATTTCAGAATCCTGTCCTGATCCTAATCGCCCCATCGGGTTTATTTTGGGATAATGACTGGCTGGCTGTACATAACCAAAAATTACTAGAGAAGTAGCCTACGTAGAGATTTTGTAAATAACATTGGCGCCCATTGAGAACAGTCACACTGGCCTTGGAGAGCCGACACTAGAGTTTTAAACCTTAAAGAACTAATCCGCAATGAAGTATGCAATCTAAACATGTCTAAATATAGCAACAACAACAAGAAAACATGACAGCTGAGAACAGGTCAAGGGTTATCTGAGGAATGTCTGGAAGAACCGATAACATGGCCTTCTTTGTATGAGTCCACAGCATTCCTATCATATTTCATAAGAGGGGCATTAAGAAAGAGAGAGTGGAGGTGGGTTCTTCTCATGTTCGACACAAACTAAACTAAAGGAACACGAAGACTGTCACAGGCAGAGCTTAGACACACACGCCCTCTTCTGGAACTGATGGAAACCGCCACTGTAGTTTCATGAGAAATCAAAGTAGTTTTGTCGCTTTTTTTAGTGCATGTGTTTTTGTCTACACTAATGTTCAAAAATTCAGCAAAAACAGAAATATTGTGAAATATTATTACAATATACATTTTTAATATATTTTCAAATGTTATTTATTTCTGTGATGGTAAAGTTGAATTTTCAGCAGTCATTACTCCAGTCTTCAGTGTCACATGAACCTTCAGAAATCATTCTAATATGCT